ACATCTGGATAGCATGTAATTATTGCACCAAGTTTGATCATCTTTTCTTAACCATAGAAGCCAAACTCTAGGTGCATCTTCTAATCCAGACAACTTTTTTAAGTTTGCAAATTTTATTAATTTTTTCAGTTACATGAGGGATGGGAATAAATGTCTCCATCAATTGGTCCTTTTTGTAGGAAAGCTGTTTTATATCTGATAGAATGAAGGACCCATAAATTTGAGGCAATAAAGTGCAAAGCAATTTGCACACTTTCTTGGATACACTTTCCTGTGTATTTAGGACTTTCTGTCCTAAATACACAGGTCTCCTCAAATCCTTGAACCTAGTTTCTGTTTGCAACTTTCCATTGGTAATTTTTGGTGTTTCATCTTACAGATATGCAGTATTGTCCATTATCATCAACTTAATCATAAACATTTTTCTTCCAACTCTTTAATTCTTTATGTTTGGCCTGAAGGGTGTCTTGCATTGCTTCAGTTTGGAATATTTCCATTATTTGAGTTTTTGTAATAGTATCATCCGATTGAGATGATTATGGACTTAAGATGATATCCTCATTAAATTTTCTCCATTCCTCAAGATCTCTACCAAAATCAACCACTTGTCTTTCCTGGGCTTCATTTTCAGTATTCCACTCATTTGCATATTTGCCAGATTTAGAAATCAGTCTTGCTGTTACCAAATCATTTTCTTTATGCAATTTATACTGAACTACCATATTCTTTTTTAAGTACTAGAAGTTGTATTACTTTAGTGGTTGGGAGGTTTTCCTCTGCTTCATGGTATCATTACAATTTTGGTATCTGAAACTTGTATGCCATTTTTATTCTCATTATCTTGGCTTTCTTTATTATCAATGTCACTTTCTTTTTCAATCAAACTTTTCTCAGGCATATTGTAAATTTTTAGTGAAGTTGGTGCAGCTTGATCTATTCTTGCAAAATTTAATTGGATTAATCTTTCTAAAGTTAAAGTCAACATACTTTGGTGTACTCTGACATAAATTCTCCCATATTTGCCTGGAACTTGTCTGTCTGAACAAGAACAACTGCTGGTTCACTCCATATGTCTGATGTTATTCTCTTATAGACTTTGTCACCAGTAAAAAAATTAACATCACTACTCGAGTGAACATTAAGACAAAGTGCGTTAGGAAACTTTTCCAAAGACTCATTCAAAACAAAAGATCTGCCTGGGACTGTGTAAAGCATTGAAATTGTCCAGAATGATTCTAAATGAAGTATTAGCACCAAAGGCAGATGATTTATCAACCAAGATTCCAGGGATCCTTTGCAAAAACTAGTTGGAATGAAAAATAACCATGTACATTCTGAAGGCTACTTTTTAGCATCACTGCACCATGATATAGCAATACCAAAGCTGCAACCTGTCTTTGCAATTGTTTTAGTATATCATCAAGAACTTGATTGTCTTTCACACAAATCATTTGACTGTGGTGTTTCTACACTAGTTGTCTTTATGGTGATATTAACATATTCATAAAGTACCCTAAAGGTTTCATTAGAGTTTTTGACCATTATCACTAAGGAAATTTTCTCGGCAACCATAAACACTGATCCATATGCAAAATATTTTCTCTATAATCTCTTCAGGTTTCTTTGATCACACAACTGCACAAGCTGACATTTTAGTAGCATGATCTATCAGGTGTAGTAGATGGACACCCACTAAATTTCTTCAAATCCATAGCTACACATTAACCAAAAATATGTCATCAGCTAGCTAACAGAAGTTTGCGGTATTCTTTACAGACCTAAGTCATGTGATATTTTCACGATTGTAGTTATAAAGAAGAAACATGTTTGCCATTTCTGAATTTAAAAACATTTTTACTTTATCTTCTTTTTTATTGGCATCATCCAAAGAATCATAGTAATACATAAAACATACCACTAGCAACAGTGTAAAATACCACAATTCATTGATCAGTGACATGTTATAAAATGGTTCACTATAAACATATTGGGAGAGTTATATGGTAGTTAGTATCTTCATGTTCTTGATCATTAAATTCTTTCTGGGCATTTAACACAATGATGAATGCTCCTGCATTCACCACACATGGGTTCCAAAGCAATTTTCTGCCGAGATCCAATACTGGTATAGTATGGTCTTTGACACTTCTGACCATGAGTAGGTCTATTATAGTACTGACCAAGTCTATTACTATGGTCATAGAAGATATCTGATTCCTCAAATTGAATGTGGTTTTCTTTTATTTGTGGACATGAAAGCCATCAGATACATGATTTTTTCAGTTGCAATTTCATTTGGTCATAAGTACATTAATTGTAGCTCTTGTTTACAGTTCTTGGTTGTCTGGAAGATTTGTTGATTTCAGCAACAAAAAAAACAAAAAAACAAAAAAAACAAAACAAGAACATACATGACATATGATTTGATCACATTGTAACTGTTATTCCTTTCTAGTTCAAAAGGTGGTATAGAATAACTTGGTAATGTTTATATTCCTTTTTGAGGAGCATGGAGCTAGAAGAAGCTAGAAGAGAATTCCACAAGCAAGAAAAGAAACTTAACATAGAACATCTGTTTACATTTAACCAATTCAACTGTAAATTGATGAGACCTTGTTTCCAGTCTAGTATTACATTTAAATTAAAAAAATAGTGAAGAGCTCATTCAAACAATTACCATGAAAGTATTTATAAGGCACAGGGAAGCAACTTTATGGTGGTGGGCAAGTGACTGACACCAAAATGTCAGGTCAAGACCAATAATATTGCTGATTCTCCTGTGGATTTTATCAAGAATCTCTAAATATATAGAAGGAGCACTTGACCATATGCAGCAGCAATATTTTAAGCATGGGTGAATGGTAGACTTATTGATATTAAGAGACTGTGGAGAGAGAAATTGTCTTGCACAACACCACAAACTAACATTCTTAGCTAACCTACCAAAGTATTCAGTAGTCTTTCCACTTCATGTCAAACCAAGAAAGCACAAGTCTCTCTCCTGGAGTTAGGCAGAAAGGGGTCTCACAGATGATTAATAAAGAGCAGTTTTATTTTGGAGGCATTAACAAGCCATTCTTTGCCCCAGATAACAGACTGAAAGTCATTTTTCACAACAGGCATCAATTTGACCTTATTGAACAGATCAGATTTACTACCGAGACAAGAGTAAATGGTTGTATAATCAGCATAGATACCAAGTTGAGAGCTGATGCCATCAGGAAGGTTGTTAATGAAAATTAAAAACAAAGTAGGACCAAGGATAGAACCCTGGAAGACCCCTGCATTAGTACAAAGGATGTACAAGAGTGGTGGCTGTTCAGGATAACTTTCAGGATTTCATAAGGACTGAATCAGTTTAAAACTTTGTTGAGACACTAACTTCTCAATTTGTGAAGACCTGTATGCCAAAAGCAACAGCCTGAGCTTCGCCATTCTTACCTAAAGACTATTTCTGCAATGATTGTTAATACATGAGCAGTTGACTTAGAGAAACTAAAGCCATATTAGTTGTATACTAAAAATAAAATTTTAGTTTGAGATTCTTAATTAAAGCAGGCTTAAGTGAAATTATTCTAAAAAGTGAAGATGTTAGTTGAAAAACTCTTGCAGGAACCAATAAGATTGGGTTTCTTTTACTAGGGAATTAATTAGGCTAGCATAGTGTTTTTAGAAATAAACAATCACTTGTAGATAGCATAGACATCAGTACATGATTTCATAACTTACAGGCATTTTGGAAAGTACAAAACATTTGAAAAATTTAAGACATTTCTTGCCCAAGTGATTAAGACAAAGAAAAATATGGAAATTGATTGATCTTTATTAATAAGCAGAAACAAAAAAAAAAAAAAAAAAAAAATGACAATAAGTTTGTATTTGCAATAACCAATACTTAAGGAATAATGATACAAAATGAACTGATATTTCTGTACATAGAAGCAATGTGAAAAATTTGCTTAAGTCATGGCTATTTACAAATAGCCTCAAGTTGCAAAAAAAAAACAAAAAAACCCCCAAAAAAAACAATGTAAACTGCTTGTTTAGCTAAAAGTAATCAGGGACTGAAAACAAAAAAGACAAAATATTTTCTTACAAAATGAAATTTGTGAATTTGAGATTTTCTTGAAGGATAGATTTGAATATTAGATTCATCAGATTGTAATTTACTGAAATGGACTTTGAAGATAATGAATAGCTTCTTGAATAAGTGACTTTGAAAAACAGGATTTTGATTTTAGAAATGACAGTAACCGAGAAGTAATTTTTTTCTTCTAAAAAAATGAGATGAGAACTTAATGTTGGTATCCAGACATTTCTACCTTAAATATATTCATTATAATGTTACAATGTAAAGACAATGCAACTTGAAGACAAATAACTTGGAATAGTATCAATCGTTTTTCCTTTGCACATTCTTCTGTTAGTCATATTTGGTAGTGTTCATATCAATTAGCCATATAGTTAAATGGCAATTCAACTTTGAACTTTTAAAAAACAATTTCTATTAATGTTTCCATTCCAATTATTTCCATAACAGTGAAACAATATGTAAACAAAACCAAATGCAATTGTTAAACAAATAAATTTGATGTTCGAATGTTACAAACATCAGAAATAGCAAAGCAAAATTTCACTGCCTCTCTTTTCATTTGAAAAACTTGAATAAAAGTTTTTATCAAATCATAGGAGATAAAGTAAACATGTTTTATTGGAAACTTTCAATTTTTAACCGGATATGGAAGATAAGCATGACTGTTAAATGTTTGAATTAGTGTTAGAAAGCAATACAGAAATCTGAACTGGATTATGCAAAAATATCTAAAATAAGAAAACTATGATAAGCATATTTTTAAGCATAAATATAAATGTAAACACATAAGTATGTATTACACATATTGTTGCAATGCTCTAATTTTATGTAGGATTTCTTATAAATGTAAATAAAAAGATCTAATCAATAAGAACTTAAAAAAAAACAAGTAAAAGGTGTCAGTAATTCAAGCTATGTCATTCTTTATTGTGTAACTGACTGAAGGACCATTTGGTTGGTAACCTGGATTGGTGAAGCCATCTTCAGGAACTTGGGAAACAGGATATGCTTGGCTAGAAACAGGATATGCTTGGTTAGAAGCTGCATATGGAGGAGGAAATTGTCCAGCTCCAGTGGACTGAACAACCACAACATTAGTCTGAAAGAAGAAAAAAGTTTCACCATAGCAAAATAGTCCAAAAGATGCTGATCTTAGCACATTTTGTAACTCAGAGAATTATAAACTTTTTTAGATATGAGAGAGGGGAAAAAGATGAGCAGACAGACACAAGCAGACAAAAGAGAAAAGAGAGAGAGAGAGAGAGAGAGAGAGAAAAAAAAAGAGATGAACTTACAATATTTGTGTTGCTGCAGCAACAGCAGATAGAGGAGGACACAATGGCCAAAACAAAGTCAGCAAAACTGCATAGACTGCCCACTATTCCAATGCTATACAAATGCTGAATAAGAAAAATGAATACCAAGATAGACAAGCTGACAAAATGGAAGTTTGTGATGATCAAAAAAAATCTGAGAAAGATTTTAAATAAAACATTTAGGGATACATAATAAAGACTTAAGAGGTATGTATTTAAAAAGTAGACTTGTCTTGGGCAATATCAAGAGATTTGGCAAGTAATAAAATAAGAGTGGCTTACCTGGTTAACGATTGCAGAGAGACTGATCCCAACCAAGGAAAATATTGTGGCCGATAAAATGGCTGTTACCATGTAAGCAATTTTCTTGATAAAAAAAAAAAAAAAAAAAAAAAATTCCATTTTGTTAAATATTCAAACAATTTCCTTTTCCATTAATTCTGTGATAAAAAGAGAAAAGTGCTTTTCTTGGTAATAATGAATATTTTGACTATAAAATTCATTTTTTAATGAATAATTTGTGTTTTTTTATAACGAAGTATTGTAAGAAAACGGAAAATGAATATAACTTTTTACACCGCAAATTATCTTATTTTGCTCTACAGAAGTTTAAAATAAGATAAGTGTTCTTTTTGTTTTGATTTTCTCTAAAGCTTGGCTGCTCAATCCATGATAGTCTCATTCTGTAGAAATATGTTTAAATATCTTAATTCATGGGGAGATTGTCTACCATTCACTGACAACTCTTTCTTTGTTTCTTATATTTTTCTGTTTCTTAATACTTTGCTTAGACATCGTCTACTATCTTCAGATTTTGGTGTTGCATTTTCTGTCTTCTCTTAAAACACTTCCTAGATATTTAAGTTTTTGTATTTTCTTGATTTTGGTATCTCCAATTTGTAATTTACATCTTGGGATCTTTTTGCTAAGTGCCTGTATTTTCCTTTCTGCTATCAATACCATACCATCGACATACCTAATGTTAAGATTGTGGTCACTAATAATGAAACATGAGAAGACTTAATTCTCTCAAAATCACCTCACTATAAAGATTGAATAAATCTGGTGAGCACATCCCTGTCTTACACCCCTTTCTATTTTTGCATATTTACTAAATTCAATTTCTATCCAAATCCTGGCAGTTTCCTCCCACTATAAATTCTGGATTATTCTAATAACCTTCCTAAATATATGAAGTTTACCTAACATTTCCAACAGTTTTTTGTCATGTACTTTTATCAAATATTTTGGCATAAGCTATAAAACAGAAGTATACATGCTTTTGCATTTTTATTGCACTTTCTGATATCATTCAGAGCATAAATATTGCATTCATTGACCTAATAAAACCGTACTGTTCCTGTCCTATTCCCAATCTAATTCTGCTATGGGCTCTATTCATCAAAATTTGGATGACAAATTCTGTTATGTGACTCATTAGGCTGATTACCTGGCAGATCTTGTATTCAATGCACCGATATGAAAATGAATTTGGTAAAGTCTTTCAGTATATCATCAACTATTGCATTATCTAATTTTTGTCTGTAATCTTGTCAATGCTAAAATACTCTCAGGCTGCCAGTATCTCTTACAATACCATCTGGTCTGATTACTTAGTACCTGTTCAATTTGACCAATGCAGATCAGGTCAAAAACAGATTTCTTCTAATGAAGTGATTGAAATAATCATTTCATGAGCCAATGGTACTTAAATGTATCTATGTACCAGACAAAGTTAAACATGGGAAATATATAGAATATATTTCTTTAATCAGTTTCAACAGCTGGACATGTCTGGAAAAAATGTTGCTAAGTAGTCACACCTTCCCAAGCTAAGGGAAATAATAGTCATACTTACCAAGTTGTATGTTTTTTTATGTTCCATAGATTTTACACCTGTCAATATACCCAAAATGCCAACCATTATGATCTGTTAAAAAAAAAAATAAAAAAAAATTTGTAAATATTGCAGGAATATAAAATTTTATTAAAGCTATTACCCAAGTAAAAGTTGTATCCCAGCATATTTAAAGCAGATATCAAAATATTAATATATATATATATATAAATATATATATATATATATATATATATATATATATACACACACTACAAATTGATAATACTGAAATATGATTCAAAAAAAAAAAATGGTTTCTCTGATCAGGGAACTCCTCCCTGAACTAAGAAAATGTAGGACATAGCAACTAAAAAAAAAAAAAAAAAAAATAATAGAACCACAGACTAATCACTTGTCCTCAAGGACACATGGCACAGTAGATAAAGGCAGTTAGATCCAGTGACAAGACCCAAAGAGTGTGAGTTCATGTTATAGTGGAACACACCTATTCTATAGTAAATAGACTCTCCCACCTATAATAAGTAGGAGTAGTGAGAGTAACGAGGTGTCGCTTAGTGGGTTGGTCAGTCAGTCAATGCCGGACGACCGTTAGTCGGATACTAAAGTATCAGCGGCCACAACTAGATTTCTCTGTGTCATTACCTATTGCATCAAGTTCCTAATGTTTTGTACGTTGAACCTATTTTAGGACAGACTTAGTACAAATACGTGGAACTAGAACAGTCTACCCTAGTGAGTGAAATAAAGAGTTCAGGTTGACATTCCAACCACCTGAAGAAGGCCAGAGCGTACAACGGCCGAAACGTTGTGATAAATATGGTGACAAAGATGAGGACAATAGTCCGAATAATGTAAATAATGTTCATGAATTTTCTTTAATAAAGTGATGATTTCTTTAAGTTATTCATTTTATATAAGAGGCTAAACATTTAACAGAAATCATTAAACAAGTTTTCATTTATTTATATTACATAACTCAACATCATTCAATTATTTTTTTTAAGTAAACAATGACCAAAAATTAAGCTGAAAACACAGAGTAAAAGAATATATACAGCTATCAATTATTTAATGAAGGCTTTATTTTTAATTATATTTTTCCATGAAAGTCAAAAAGGCTCTCTTCCCATACAAAAAAAACAAAACAAAAAACAAATTACTTTTTATCCATAAGAACAATGTTAAAAAAGAAGTGCAGTCAGTATTTGATAATTTTCTTTTAAATAAATTGTTTTTAAATGAATGAAGAAAAAAAAAATGAAGACTAATAATGGCAAGCAAGTATTTCATTCACCATTTTTACATTTTTTGATGGCATGAGATATATATAAACATTAAAATCTCATGAGCAGCCCTGATTAATGGTGTTATTTTGATAAAATGCACAGGCAATATATTTAGTGACAAAAATTGAATTGTAATGAATATTGATCATCATGAATTTGTACATTAATAGTGTTATTTTGATAGAATACATGGGCAATACCAGGTAGACCTACTAGTTTTATATAAGCCTACTCATAGTATTTGGACAACCGAGATCCACATAAATAGTTTCTTTAAATTGTACAAGATTTTGTAGAAAGGGGAAAAAAAAGTCCTCATATTTTAAGAAAGCTATGAATCCAGGTGAGAAATAATAAAATGTTAATTCGAGAAAACTTACCCAAAGTGAAGCTCCAGTAACAACGCCAAGGTAGACATGCACTACTTGTGACAAGGATTCAATTCCATACATGTTTAAACGTTGCCATTCATATGTTGGGATACTTAATTCCGTGCCAAAACCAACCATGGCATTGATAAAAATAACCACGCCAAAAATGACATGCAATATACCAGTGATGGTCATTGCCATATAAGGAAATGTTGGTAACATTTTTTTTTTTTTATATATATATATATATATATATATATATATATACACAGGAATGGAATTAAATGCTCACAGGAAACTGAAAAATCAAAAGAAAAAATATAATCTTTAGCTTACTGATCTGTAATTTGGGGGCTATTCATTTTTGTCATACAGTGTAACCCGGATATAAGAGAGTCGTCGGAACCGGAGAAGAAGTCTCTTATATCCGGGATTGGTCTATTTTGTTTAAGTAACACAGGCTCTAATTTGGGACCAGAGAAAATCTCTCATATCCGCGTCTCTTATATCTGGGTTACACCGTACCCTGCAAATCAAAACACTTATGACAAAGTTACAAAGTATGACAAATTTTAGAGGTAAGAAACAAAATTTACTATTTTGAAGAAATATTTCACTAAGGAAGCAGACAAAAGCATGAATGCAACCAAAAAGTCTGAAAAAGAAAATCTTGTTCTAATTACATAAAGGGTAGAATCCAAACACATAAGTAGGAAAAAAAAAAAGTTTTCTTTCCCCATTCTCCAGAGACTGACAAAGAGAAAAGGAGTGTGCATGGCAACTCCTTTAGTTGTCGTGCACACCTTCCTCTTTTTACCTTTATCTACCATTCCTGTTTACAAAGGGGAAGGTTGTAAAAAAGAAGACTGTTCAAACTGCTGGTCATGACAGATTATGCACTTTCTCCCAGAAAATAAGGTCCACTCCACATAGTTGCATTAAAAACCACAGATAAATATAGCTTTTCTAATTAAATGTCTACTTTTAGCTTTTATTGCATTTTTATTCTTCGATTCAGAACAGTTTTTTTTCACAAAGAAAAATCAGATCCCGGATTTTGCACAAAGAAAAAAAGAAAAAAGAAAAAAAAGGACAACACACACACACACTTAGGTACCTTCAAAAATTTGGTATACTTAAAGTTTAAATGTATTTTTCATAAAGGATAAATCCTTTTTGAAGCTTTCCTCTCAGCTTCAATTGAAATTTCTAATTCCAGGAAAAGAAAAAAAAATACTGTGGAGTATTTCAAATAGATATGAAATGAATAGTTGATTCTCCCCACCCCATTAAGAAAAAAAAAATCGAAATGGCTGTTTTTAACTTTGTAAACTAAATTTACTTTTTTGTTTTTGAAAAATCCCACAAAAATAAAATATACATTTCTGAAACTTTACTTTCGTAAAATTAGCAAATTTAAAGTTAAATTAATCTGTTCTGAAACAAAAAAATTATAAGATTTTCTAGAAAAAATTTCTTGACCTCTAGTGTCTTCTTCCCACATCTCCATTGATAATTTGATGGCTTAATAGTGCACCAGAACTGACGTAATTTTAAGAATTACAAGTAAGAATGTTTTTATTTGTTTCTTAATTCAAGATATTAAAAATTTCTTACATTATTGAGTTACCTCTATAATAATATTTCATTAATAGCTAAAATAATGATAAATAACTTTAATTATTAATATTACATTAAATTACACTTTTAATTTAATAACTGAGATAATAATTAACAAAATTATTGTATTAATTAAATTATCTCACTCAGTAAGTAAAAGTGAGATAAGCCAAAGACTTATGTTTAAGCCTTAAAACACATGACCTTAGTTTTAACCATAATATCACTTATGGTACACCCTACCCCACCCCCATTTACGGTAAAAAGTTTTGGTAGTATTATTTGTATTAGGCTTTTAATTTTCATTTAGTAAATATGATCTTCATTTAAAAACTCAACCTGCCTCGTACTCGGTTTGGTTTGGAAGAATTTAAAAACATTTAAAATTCTTGGAAAATGAAAAAAACTAAAAGAAAAATGCAAACAATTCTTGTAAAAATTCTTTATTCACTGAAAAAAAATTATTTTCTTCAGATAATAATGTCCTTATAAATTCTATCTGAAATACACCAGACTAATTTACTTAATTTAATCCTTTAGCTTTCACTTAAAGATAAAGTGAAATTTTTTTTCATTTTAAAAAATTCCTTTTAAACTTTATCGAAAATTTATGGAGATACCTATAAGTAGGTATATGTTCAATACTTCGCTAAAAAAGAGCATACCCTGGTGAAAAAAGATCCCAAACTTGATTAAACAATTTTTTATCGTCTAAAATAAATAAATGTTTAGGAGGAAAGAAAGACCTAAGTATTTTTAAAATATTTAAAAAAAAAAAAAAAAATGTTTTTAATCCTTTCTAGCACGTCCGAAAATTTAATCCACAAAATTTACATAAAAAATCGACCATGTCAGCCATGTTTAAAAACAAAAGTGAAATTCCCCATTTAAAAATTTCGTGGAATTCAATATTTTTTTTCCAAAAGTTATTTTAGCAAAATTATAAAATTTTAAGTATACTTAATGTAATTGGAAACAAACATTAATTATTTAGCCAAAAAAATTTAGTAGGAATAGAGAAGCATGTCTAACCGTGGTGATGTGTTTTTTTTTTTTAATGTCAATGTATCGACAACTAACGTCAGGGCAATATATCGGACAAAAACGGCAGTATTTTCTAATATTAAGTGAAGCAGCTTAAGTAATTGTTAAAAAGTAAATACTTTCAAAAGTTGGTAACTCCACGATTTCGCTAATAAAAAAAAAAAACAAACAAACCAAAAAAAAAAAAAAAAAAAAAAAAAAAAAAAACAACACACACCGTGATGAAAACTTGCTCTAAAAATGAAAAGTTTTATCGTCAAAATCTTTAAGTGGAAGAATCAAAGTTTTTTTTTACTCTCTTTAGATTCGAAATTGATTAAATTTTTTTTCTTTTTTGCAAATTTGAGTTTTTTTTTTTTTGCTGTGACACATTTAATTCGGAAATTCTTGCAAAAATTTAAATGATTGTCTTTCACTCAACTTTATTTTCTATTTTTCAGCCTTTGTTAGATCCTTTCCATTTTTAACATTACGGAAGGAAATAAAAAAATTAAAAAAAAAAAAAAAAAAAAAAAAAAACTTATTTCAACAGGCCTGTTTTTTATTTTTATTTTTTTTTCATCTGACAGTAATTTTTTTTAGGGATTCAAGATTAATGGTAATAAAATTCGCAGTTTACCACATTTTTATTAATCTACTTTTGAGTCAAAAATAAATACAACCCCCACAAAAAAAAAAAAAAAAAAAAAAAGGAAAAGATTATGCTCATAATACGAGGCTAGATAAACCGATTTAAGGGGAAAGTGGAGCACTCGATAGAGGGTGAAAAAAACTGTTGCATCTTCGGGTCTTCTAAATCAAACAAAAAACCACAACAAAAAAAGACATTTAAATTTTTAAGCAACATAGAAAATAAAAGATTATTTAATTAAAATAAACTCAACAAATCAAATGAACTACAACGACGCTACCAAAACAAAGCTGTTGCGGGATACAACTTGTAGAATAGCCACGTTTTCTCCGAAAATAAAAAAAAAACCGTTCATGGTAAACTGTGTAGGGATTTCTCTTTTTACAAAATAAATGGTAAACTGTGTAGGGACAACTCTTTTTACAAAATTTTACTGTTGTTGTTAATCATTTCAATCAATAAAAAAAAAAAAGAAGTTTTAAAATAAGTACGGAACAACTCATTTTGTTTCCTTTTTTTTTCCTAACTAATGAAAGTAGTTTGCAAATAAATATTCATTAAGGAGGAAGATGAATGAAAACAAAATAAATTACGACAAATGTTGATATTTGATCATTTTTTTTTTTTTTAAATAATATATTTAAAAAAAATTAATATGCTTTTTTCTGCCATTATGTTATTTTTATTTTAGGACGACAAATAAATTGAGAAAAAAAAAACAAAAAAAAAACACTTTTGAGTTTTGATAAATTAACTTAACAACTGTCTTTCTTTAAGCAATATTATTTTATTAATGCATTCGCAGTTTACCACATTTTTATTTATCTACTTTTAAGTCGAAATTATTTTTCATGCTCTACTGATATTTTCCGTTCGACCAGGAAAACTTCTTGGCCAATTCGAAAAGTAGGTCAGGCCGAGAACATTTCAGCACATCGACGACGTATTTCACGAACAAAGCTTTTTTACTTTTTTTGTAAATATTTTGTTACAATAACAATGTGACTTTCTTAACCAGAAGAAAAGTTATTTTTTCCAATCAGTCACCATGCTAAGGAATCAGTAAGCATGTTTAAGAAAAATCATTCATTAAGTTTCGAAGAAAAAAGTTAAAACAGAATTTGTATCATCTATCTATATATGAAAGCAAAAATATTTTTGATCACAATGCTTCGTTTCCACAAACGAGCTTAAAATAGAAAAACAAGTGACAATTGTAAAATTAATAGAGCTTAAGTAGTGTTTCTACAGCTTTTCCGAGAAATCACTAAACAACAAAAAAAAAGTCGATACAGACAACCGTTTATCCACTATTTGTTGTACAATTGTTGTTCAAGAGACAATTTCCTAGCTTTCCTGTCCTCGAGTTAGACCTCAAACTCTGACTACTGTCATTTACTTTTTACTACATTCGTTTTTTTATAGCTATAATTACTCGTCTTATCATTATGTCAGAAAGCACTTGGTCCACGCCCTAATTCATAACATTTCCTAAAACGCCATCACAATTGAGGGTAACTTTTTTTTTTTTCTTGTTTGACGGTTGGATAAATCTGAAATCACCAAATGAAAATATTCTAGAGAAAAATTACGCAAGTTCAAAGTTTTACCAACTGGATTATTAACCAATATTTAATAAATTAATATTTTTATAGATTCCAAATATTTTTTAAACAATTTTATCGTTTATAAACTAAAAAAAAACAAACAAACACACTAATTGTCATAAAAAAAGAAACACATTCATTAACTTTTTACAAGTTACATTGGAAATGAAGTTAACCTAAAATGTCATTGATTAAAAATCGATAAATTAATGTAAAAAAAATCTTTTAAATTAATTTACCTTTTGAATAACCAGAAGTGTATCCAACGAAGTCGATAACAAAATTCCGTGTAACGCGGAGAGAAATGCCATGACGTCATAACAAAACTTCAGCCAATCGCTAATATCTGAAATTTATTCATTTAATATACGTCTTTGGAGGAGTGGAGGTCAGTAAACTCACTCTCAAAACGCAGCAATCTACTCCAGCCACCCGCCCCCCGTTTCAATTTTCTTTATCTTTATAGACTCTCTTTTCCTCTCTTATTTGTTCAGTTCTATTTCGCCCACAGTTTTCTCCTTTTTCAATCTTCTGCTTTTCCCCCCATTAGACTTTTTATTGCGTAAGTTTTTCTACTTCAAACATTTGGATGATGTTATTGTTAAAAAAATGTCAGTTTGACTTTTGAAAGTACCTGACGGACCACTTAGCGTTTGTTTCTTTCTAGAGTAAAATTTTATGGGGTAGTTTTTTCATTTCTGCTGTGTCAAGGCAAAATCTAATGCGGGGAATTTTAAAAATTATTAAAGCCTCATGTGGCCTTTCCCACCAGGCAGTACATCTCTTTCGATTTTCACGATTCTTATCTAATGATTGAGAGACTTTTTCACCAATAATCGTTAATACATCAGTAGTTGATCTATAGAAGCGAAAATCACATTGCTTGTCTGAAAGAAGGCCCTGCGATGTGAGATGTTTAACCAATTCAAAATTGGCCAGGGCCTATAGTAGTTTACCGAAAAGAGGTAGAAGGCTAATAAACCAATAATTCGATGGGTCAGACGGTTCATCTGAGTTCATAATGACTCAACAGAAAAGTATTTCCAACAGACAGGAAACCAAGAGCCGGGGAGGAATTTATTATAAAGTTTAGAAAGAACTGGAGCCAGTTAGGGAGTACATTTATTAAGGACTACTACAGAAATACCATCAGATCCACATGCTTTGTGAGAATCCAGATTAGATAAGCTAGTAGAAACCATGGAATGGGGTTATATGCATTTAACTCAAGAGACACAGTTTTAAATTTACAGGCGAAATATTCTGCTTTATCAGCAGAAGATGTTAACACATGGAACTGAGTGAAGAGAGAAGGAATAGAATATATAATGAGTTTGACAAATAGGATTTTACCTATTTTCAAATGTTGATTATAAGAGAAATAAAGTATAGAGGAAAGAGTCAGATGGTAGGATGTTGACTACTGGTCACGTGTCGTAGAAAAACACCTATCAGCGACGCCATATTGATGTTTAAGTCGCTTGGACGAGTTAGAATTTGTCGAGACTTGGATCCGGTGTTTTGCAGCCCAGGCTAGGGCTAAAAAATTTGAAAGACAGTAAGGCAAGAGGGAGAGGAAATGAAATAACTGACCTCTTATTAGCTTCGGCAAGTTGTGAAGCTATAATGACAATTTCTGTTATGGCATACACCAAATAATTGGAGAATTTGACTTTCGTCGAAATTTCAGAAACAGTAAAAGGAAATTTACGACCTAAAAAGAAACTTGTCATAGGGGAAAGAATCAAATTTCTATCCATTAAACAGAAGCAAAATAAATCAATTATACAATATCTTCACAGATTAAGAGAAGCTAGCAGATTCTGAGAATTAGAGAAACTGGGAACTCAACATTTCACTATAGAGGACGAATTGATTCAATTACAGTTGATTAAAGTTATGGTTGATACATTTCATAAATAGAAGATATTAAAACAATACAATTGAATAATTTGTGACAGAGAGTAATAGTCACCCTTGAAATATTAATAATTATAGTAATATAGAATTTTGCTTATAGATGAAAAAAGATAATCTGTGGTGAAGTTTGTGCCCAGAAAATCTGTGCTTCGTTAGAATTACTAATATAAAATGTAAAAACAATAGTGTTTATATGAACTATGGAATACCATTTGAGAAGAAGAGGCTGTTCATTTAATCATGAAAGGGGAGAGGTCAGTAATCAAGTTGTATTCTAAGTTACCAAAACCCCGGGCTTTTGTCGTTACCACCGCGTGTTTGTGCGAAAACAAACAGGAGAGAGACCGACCGCGAGAGACCGCTTGCTGCTGTAATAAGGGAGAAAGTGAACTAGAGTTATCTGCAATATTGGAGCAATACTGCCAATGAACCCCTCTTATATCCTGATAGTGAAATAATTACGGCAACTACCAAGAACAAAAAGGGTGAACCTGAAAACTAGTCTCCTTTCAGAATTATTTGCAATATTTGTTTTTTTTTTCTGAACTTTATTTCATATACATTACTTTCTTGTAAAGAAAGCATTATTCTTTTTGTACCAATTTCTTCTTTATATACAACGAACTTGCAAGTAGACCAGCTGAAACTTCCTGGATCTACGATTTTTTACTTGCTCTCCAGGATCAAAAAATCTCAACGTGGCTGGAAACTGGAATCTAATCGACATTGTGAACCAGAGACTTTGATCGAATCGTAATACTGTACCAGGACATGACCAACGGCCGGTCTTGTAGAGTACAATGGCCCAGTGAGGCCAGGATAGGTGTTACAAATTTGTCTCTAACTGGAAGTTATACAACAATTGGAATTGATTAAAAAGTATAATTCTATTGAATGTAAGAAATGCAAATACTGTAGAGATGAACATGAAATTGACAGAAAAAAAGTGTCCCGCTTTTGGAAAAATTTGCCATAACAGCGGAAGAAATAAATCATTTTCAGTCTGTATGCAAAGTTAAAAAGAAAATAGTATAGAAAAATTGGAAAAAGAAAGAATTGATGGCGTCTTTTCAATACAAAGCCCCAAAGAAAAGAATTCTTTTGAAAAAAATTAAATTAACATGACGCTTCCAATGCAAGTGTTGAGGGAAGTCATTCTAATCCCAAGAAATGTCTGGGAACAAATGGATAAAACGAAGTTGAGAAAAAGTCTTCTGAAATTGAGACAATTCGATAGATTTTTTTTAATAAATACTTTGGGCTAATTCAATGTAACTTTTGAAACCTGTGACTGATTTGAAATTATTCCCATTACATTAGTGGAATGTAATAAAAATTCATGGACTACTAGGATGTTGTAAAGGTGGATACGTCGAAATGAATCAATACTGTAAATTAGAAAAAGTAAAAATAGGAGTGTTAAAGGGATTTAAAGCGAGCATACAATTAAATAATAATCCTGTAAATTACTTATTCATCTTCAACTTTTAGTGATTGCCAAGTTAAAAAAAATGGTAGAGGAGGGAATTTTGGAGCATGTTTCTCCAGGTGGCAGTAAATGGGCTTCTCCCATTGTAGTTTTGCGAAAATCAGATGGTGACTTATGTATATGTAATGATTTTAAAAGCGGCGTAAATCATAATTGTTTTTTTTTGCAAAAAATGGTTTAAAGTCTACCTATAATCAAATACAGATTGATGATAAATTCGAGGAAATTACCACAATAAACACCCCTATAAGATTATTAAGAGCGATGAGAATGTCTTTTTGTAAGGAATTGGCAAGTTCCATTTCCCTAAGACCAATGGAAAACATTAAATGACAAAATTAGTAACATGATTATTTATCAAGATGATATTTGCCTCGGTGCCACCACAAAAGACGAATAAAAAAAAAAAAAAACACGTGTTAAACAAGTTAAAGATGATAGGTTGACAATAAACACAGACAAATCTGAATTTGATTACGATACAATATCATATTTAGTGTATCAGCTTTAAAAAGATGGTGTTGCACCAGATCCAAAGAAAATTTCAACTGCTAATAAAAAAAAATAAAATAAAAAAATAAAAAAAAAAGAGAATTAGAAACCTTTTTAGGACTGTTTAATTTTTTATAATAGATACCTACCAAAATACAGCGGCTTAATAGAACCTTTTGCTGAACTGCGAAAAAAGAATAGTGAGTTTAAATGGACCCAAAAGCAAAACTTAACGTTTAAGGATTTAAAAAAGTTACTCGCATTGTAAAAATCTTTGATCCCCCAAAAGGAGGTTACTTTAACTACGGATGAGAATGAACGAGCTGTGTTAGCACTTTTATGGCAACAAGGCCATCCAATAATGTACTTTTCAAGAAGATTGACAGCGGCAGAAATAAATTATTCGAATATTGAAAAAGAGGTATTGGCCATTGTTTGGAGCATAGACAGAGCTCGACAATTTTTATTCGGTAAGAAGTTCCTATTAAAGTCGATTCATAAACGTCTAGAGTTTATTTTTAACCCCAGAAAGGAGCTACCAAAAGTTTTTACTTACAGAATTCTAAGGTGGGCAATAAAATTAATAGCATATATTTTTGACTTTCAGTATATAAAAGGAGATACAATACCACATATCGATGCACTGTCAAGGTTTTAATTTAATAAAGATCAAAAAGAAAAAAAAATGTAAATCTCGGATGAAGAAATATAATATTGGACTGAAACTGACAAATTATCGGAAAACTCTACATGATCCGATATAAAGCAAGATTGCTGAGAGAAAGAAACAGATGGAGTAATTGTTTCAAAGATGAAAGGCCTTATAAAGAAATAAGATATAAATTAACGATGGGAAACAGAAAACTTATTTAATACATTATTACTGAGCCGTTAAGTGTCACGAGAGGCAATGTTGTTAGAGGTTTATACGGTGACTAATTCTATATATCTTCTGAAACGGTGAAAATTTGAATAAAATTCTAATTTGGTATCTCTCTATATTTCTGAGATGAGGTATTATGTACACTATTTACATTATTTGGACTATTGTTCTCATTTTTGTGGCCTTGAGGACATATGGCACAGTGGATAAAGGCGTTGGTTAGTTCCAGTGACAGGACCCAAAAGAGTGTGAGTTCAATACCTGGTTAAGGCGGTGGAGAACTTGGAGAGGGGAATTAACATGAGATAACTGATAACTGACATCCATTAAAACATGGCACGTGGAACTAGAACAGTCTACTCCAGTGAGCGAAATAAAGGGTTCAGTTCGATATTCCAATGACCTGAAGAAGGCCGGAGCGTACAACGACCGAAACGCTGTAATAAATATGGCGACAAAGATGAGGACAATAGGCCGAATAATGTAAATAGTGTAAAATTCTAATGTCTAAGACTTCAATTAAATATAAGTCAAG